CAGTCAGGGTTTATTTTTAGGCTGGCTTATATACAACTCATAAATGTGATTTATTAATTGATTACAGTTTTCAACTAAATAAAAACTTTAATTTTGGTTTCAGAGTTTTGCTTAAAAAAATACTTTAGGTGCATCACTATATCTAAATGAAACTATACTGAATTAAATCGAATGAGATCATAATCAAATTGCATTGAAAACCTGTGAATCAAATTGAATTGTGAGATCTGCACCAATACTCTATTTGAAACACAGCCATAATGCACCGCACACATTATGTAATACTGTGCATTGTTTCCTTTGAACAACAAAGCCAATATAGTTGTTTGTCTGAATGGCTAAAGGAGGTGCAAAGCACTGACAGGTATTTACTCTAAACACGGATCCAATTCTTATCACTGTGGTAATTAAAAAGCTTTGCATGGATAATTTAATGGTTAGAGTAAATTATGACCCCCATGTGACAGTTGGCAAGGGAGACGTGTTGCATGGAGAACAATAGTCGTACATGTTACACAATGAATGCACTGTACTAGCTAAAATCCATCTGAATGACAGTGTTCTGTGTCAGTGTGCCGCATTGTCAAAGAGGACTTGTTTACACTGAGACCTCTAGGAAGGTTGCAGCGCACACTTGTTTGTGTACAGTGTCTTATGATATCTAACACCACATACCATTTTGATGAACACATTTGAAAGTAGGGCTGCACGATAAATCAAAATGGAATCGAGATCGCGATTCGACAGAAGCTGCGATTGTCAAGCGTATCTTTCAGTGAAGCACGGTTCTGTGATCAGCAGTAAATCTCCATCCAAAGGCCAGAGGGTGCTCTCGCGCTGAAACTCCAAACACCCCTCGCAGAAGAAACCCAGAAAATGCCTATAGCTGCAGCTGAATAAACAGAAGATTCAACTGCTTTCATTGATTCAATGTGACTAATAAACACACGACTACGGCAATATACGGTATATCTGAGTTCTTATTATTATAATTTTTATTCAAATAAAGTATATTTATAATGCAATGCCTTTATCACTGCTTAAATACTATGAAATATGTTGCGTGCCTTATTCAGTGTAAGAAGCCACATCATCTCACAGAAGGATTTATTTCAAACACTCGACTGATGTTATGAAGTGGGTTTGGAGTAAAAATATGTTATTAAATGTGGTATTTTCACATGCTTTCAGATGGAGCAGCATTTGCTACACAGAGCCATAGTTCACTGAGAAGCTGTGCAAACAGCTGTCATTATCGCGAATGATTTCTTCGATTTCATAATCATGCAATAAAATCGCGATTTTTTTGCGTAACTTGTCAGTGAACTACGGCTATGTGTAGTAAATTCTGCTCCATCTGAAAGCACGTGATGATGATTTCCTGCTGATTACAGAACCGGCTTTACTAACAAAATGCGCATGACAATCGCATTCGATTAATCGTGCAGCCCTATTTGAAAGTTACATATAGTTCACGTTTTGATCTCAGCATGATTCTAGAGATTCTTGAGTTTTGAGGACAAGGACCCTGAAACAAACAGACTATCACATATGAAGATTAAAACTCAAGTTATAAAAATATTTTTTTACAACAACAAATCTGTTTCATACAGGGAAGACCAAGGGCAATTGTAGCATTTTGTACATTGTCCATCATAACTCACAAACTATTACAAATCTACCTTTTATTTGCTCTCTAACTTAGAAGTCATGTGCTGAAACTATGTCATATATGTCATATGAGTTGTAAAAAGTTAATAGAGAGACTAGAGTAGGCTGAAATTCACCACAGTGGAGCATACGGCACTTCAGGCAGTCTAGAACAGCATGTCAGCTGTGGATCTCACCAGCTATGAAGCAGCTTCAGTGAAGGAGTGCTGAGCAGTTTGTCCGGGAGGAAGTCGATCTCCTTCATGATGTTGGCTAACCGGACAGGAAGTTCTTGCCTTAAAAACATGAAGGAGGTCTTTTCACAGGCATTGGCAGATCCTGCGAGCAAAACGGGACTACATTAGTAAGAATTTCACTCGTGAACTTGATATGTACTGTATACCTGAAAATCACTATACAGTTAAGACCAATATTTTGGTGTAATCCCTAACTAGACATCAGTTTGAACATATGTGTAGACTCCTAAATGACTGTGGAGTTTAGAAGTTAGCTTTGTAATATGAGATGTAATATGATGTAAAATTACACTTTATATTAGACATTTGTGTATTTTAAATATTGGTCTTTTTTTAATTGTTCTTAAATTGCTGGTCTATTTAGTACTGATGTTTTAACAGCAAAATATTTCAGTTTTTTTTTTAATGACAGTTGTCTTTAAGAACATGTAACAATGCTAAAAAATGAAATATGTACAGTTATTAAATACAACATCAATGGTACAATTTATTTGTGGGGTGATATTCAATTTATATGTCATCGAACAGCTATATTAAAGTTATTTGAGAGATTTTTTTGTGATTGCATCTGCCAAATAGCATTAAGAGGAAGGTTGTGTTTCAAAACCTAGAGAGCTGCCTATATAGACAGCATGTTGTGCATTACAGCTGCATATAGGTGAACACTGGAGATATGATGCAGACAATACTGTATAAGCAGGTTAAGCTGTTCTTACGAAAAATACTATGTTATACATGGTACAGTAATGGTAATACTGTGGTATTTTGATAAGGTACATGACATATTCCCCATGACAAATAAATAAATAGCATGTTATAATGTGCACTTGTTACTACAAAAGTGCTTTTGTAAGTTTTATTAGTGAGCTCACTAGGTTTTCAGACACAACCACAATGTGTTGGCTCCATCAGATCCATTTCAAACAGGTAAACAACTTACCAAAGTCAATGAACTGCTTCATTGACAGCGGGGACGGAGAGTACTTTGAAAATCTGTCCACTTGTTTAGGTATGTTCAGCTTTGAGCTGTTCTTCAGCATGATCTGGGCGAACTTCATGTTGATCTTCAAGTGAAATCCACAGATCTTGAAATGTTCTCACCGAGTTATTGTCCTGGTCTCATCCGATGCAGGTCGCAAAGTTTGACATTCACAGCCTGTTACTTCATCACATAAATTAAGATCTCCGCAGAAATCCGGTGTGATCGGACTGTCCGGCGGAAGAGCCCGCCTGAAGCGCTCTAATTCGGTTTAATTTGTCATTGCACCAAAATAACCGACCAGCACATGGTACAAAACAAGGTACAAACATAACACAAGGGAGGGAGGGCAGAGGTGAAACTGTTACTCCAATATGCATAGATAAATTATTACAGATGTTAACCCACACATCAAGGTTATTCTTTCTATTCTTATCGGCAGGTAAAACACAATAATTGAGATATATAGCTGATGTAAAGAGACTGGTTATATGATGTCGTCATATTCTGTTCCTTGTGCAGCCAACAGAAATGGGCTTCACATCTACATGCTGTACATCTATATCGCCCTGCCGTTGACGCATGCGCACAGCTAATGTAGAGCAAAGGTCTTTGGGAGTGGGATTGAGACACAATTTTTCATCTTCAGTGGTGCAGCATGAAGTATGTATGGTACAGCGTGTTAAAATAACTTCAGCTACTTCCTGTAATGCGACAATATACAATGTTTTGAGAAAATTTTGTGTGATTAAATGCAAAATTTCAGGGTTATCAATACTAAAGGAAAAATATTAAAGAAACATAAAAAACAGTCTGTACACATTATTATTACCGTAATATTATTGCTGTTATATTATTGTATACTCACTATACAATAATATAATCTAAAGGAAATTATATGAAGGTATGAGAAATCTTTTTGTTGTTTTTCATTCCTGTTAATCTATGAAGTGACCTATTTCTATTTTAAAATGAATGCAAGGCTTCTTCTTTTTTTTTTTTTTGCAGCGACCATTTACATTTTAGGCACATTTTGGCTGGCCAGGCTGAGAGACCTGAAGCCCAGCTTAAACCAGCAAACAATCTTTAGGCAGGTTTAATACTATATGGCCCGGTTTCACAGACGGGTTTACCTTAAACCAGGACTATGCCTTAGTTAAATTAAGATATTTAAGCAGGTTTTATACAAAATGCCCTAGAAGAAAACGTTACATGTGTGCATCTTGAGATAGAACAATGGAAGTGACATATTTTAAGATATGTCAGAGCAAGATATTTTCAGTTGAGACAGCTCAAACATGCATTTTAGTCTGGGACTAGCCTTAAGCCTTATCTGTGAACCCGGGGGTATATTTTTTAGCAGCATTCTGGATGACAAGAGGCTAAACTGCCTTGCTCATTTGAACTATGGCTCCATCTAGTGGTGTATAACGATTGAAATGAACACTTCTTCTTTTCTTTTTTCTTTTTTTCAACGTTAACCATTAGTGCAATGTTTGTTACCTGCTCAAAATAAAATTAAGCCACCCTAAAACCCTGATCTGATCTCATTCTGTTTTAAAAGTGGTTTTGGTCACTTTTAAACTAGCATGAGTACTGGGCATGGTGAGAAACCAAACTAAAACCATGTTACTAACATAAGTGGGCCTAAACCATCCCTGCTGAGAGAGAGAGAGAGAGAGAGAGAGAGAGAAAAAAAGAAGGCTAAAACCAGCCTAAACTGGTTGGCTGGTCTTAGCTGGTTTAAGCTGGAAGTAGCTGGTCTCCCAGCCTGACCAGATAAAGAAGTGGCCAAAACCCCTCTAAAACCAGCCTGCTGACCAGCTATGACCAGGCTGGACAACCAGCTAAAACCAGCCAACCAGTTTTATCAGCAGGGATGTTAGGCTGGTTTAAGCTGCTTTTTTTCCAGCAAGGATATTGAAGTTATGATCCAAATGTAGAGATTGTGTTTATTGGATCTTGGTTAATTTGTTAGCTTGTTAATAATGGTTTAATCACCTAATGTTTACATCTGTACATCATGCATAGCAGAATGCAGAATATCCGCTAGGTGGCACTGTTGCAGTAGATTAATTTATTTCTACATCTAACATCATTTTGGGAAGGGGGGAGGTGGGATCTTTTCGTTATCTCGAGGTATCAAGGCGGTCTGTGAGCATCTTGCCACCTCTGAAAAATGTAGGCCATTAGCCTTAAATTTTGCCAACAGCTTCGATGAATTTCTAAACGATCACATCGTATAATATCTCAAACATGTTTTAAATCAAAGGGCCGTATTAAAGCGGATGGCAGATTGTGTACATCAGCAGTGATACAGCATATTTACAGTGGACAGCATCCACACTGGGAACAGGTAGGAAGTCTCACCCACTGGGTGCATGTTTCTCATGCTCACATAACTGTGAGATTTCATACCTGCATTTTGTTGAAACGGCGAGCTGTTTTTCATGCTTTATGTTCGATGACTTCATAATCGCATATGGTTTATGACGTCATTGTGCTTCTCTTGGTACCCACTGTTAGCAATAGCTACGCTGACATCATTTGTGCATCCAAATGTATCATTGTCTGACACCTGTGTAATATAACTGGGTTTTCAATAATTGTATATTCTATAACTCTCTGTAATCGAATTGGAGTCTGTTGTAACAACAGATCCAGCATTATGATAGTCCACCTAATGTAGCATCCTGATGTATCTCAGGTCTGCATCATAAATTTGACGTTTGCATGATAATTTGCAATCAAAATGCATGTTTTTATTTATTGATTTGTGTTTTTTTTATGCATTTGCATGTTGTTTTGTACCATATATGGTGTTTTAATTAAGCTTTAATAAAGCTTTCCCCCACAGTCTGATATTGTTTTGTTATTACCGCTCCATTTCATCACATTTATTTGTTATGTTTATCATTTGATAAAGCCTAGGATTTACAGTTTTAAGAAATATTATCCTTAGATCCTATGGATACAGCCACACCCTTAATACAGAAACAGCTGTATTTATTGTTTTGTTGTTGTTGCTGAATTAGGGGATCAAACTAGGTTTCAAATGCCTCATAAATATATATTTTAAATAAGTTTTCTCATAAATGTATTGTATTACATGGATATATGCCAAAAGGCATTTCTGTTGAAAACACAAACGGTCCTTCAACGTGAAACTGTGATTTTCACTGCAGTAGTGAGTGATTAACTACTGCATTTAATGAACAAAACCTCTAACTATAGTTCTACCTACTGTAGTCTCCATACGGCCCTGCTTACACTGGGATGGATGTGAAAACTGTGGGTCTGTGGTGTAATTGTTTTGTCGCAGGACAAAATGGCTGATAAGAGTGACCTAAAAGCCGAACTTGAGCGCAAGAAACAGCGCCTTGCTCAAATCAGAGAGGAAAAAAAGAGAAAGGAGGAAGAAAAAAAGAAGAAAGAGGTGAGAAAATATTTGAATGAGACTTATTCTGAATGTGGTTAGAACTTAATATGAATATCTGATTATGTGTGCTTGTGTGTGCATTTGTAAACGTAAACAGTCAGAGACACAACAGAAAGCGGAAGCTGTTCCTGAGGACTCAGATTTGGACCGCAAGCGCAGGGAGACAGAGGCCCTCCTCCAGAGCATTGGAATCTCACCCGAACCTCCATTAGGTACAGTACACAGACCACCGGACTGCACTAAAATATCCATCTGCACCGCAGCCACCTCACTCAACAATGCCTGCCTCCAAAACACATTGGAAAATTGCCTTTTTACCTTTGCCAAGATCAGGCTGTGTAATATTCTGGGTTCCCTTCATGTCTTTTGAATGGGACTTCATCCAAACCTCTTTTTAGGCTGGCTGTTCCCAGTCTTTTTTAGTCTTTTGGATTCTGCATTTTAGTATTTTTACTACACTGTATGTCCCGCATTACTAATCCAGTCAAAGTTGTTTTGTAATTGGTAATGAAATTCTAAGGTTTATCCAACAAGATCTTTTCAACTGCCCAGTAAGTCACACAAATCTCTAGAGCTTTCACATAGACGCTAATTATTGCAAACAGAAACTTACAATTACTTGTTATATTCATTATTTCACCACTCTACGGATTTTGTTACAGTCATTATAATCCCTTTTTCTGCTACTACCGCCATCTAGTGCAGAGCCATGTACATTACAAATATGGTCTCTATACTCACCACAATGCCTTTTAAATTAATTCTGACTGTGAATAGTATAAATTAGTGCAGTGTAAATTAAAAAAATGTTTAATTGTTTAAAAAAGTAGCTAGTTAAAATGTAGCTGAATTTTTTATAAATTAAAAAAATGAACGGCATTTTATATCTGACTGTTTTTGTTTTGGCTGTTCTTAGTCCCGACACCCATGTCCCCATCAAAGTCAATGAGCACACCCAGCGAGACAGGCAGCCAGGACTCGGTTGATGGAGCAGCTGCTGGCAGGTATTTAACACCCCTAAATCTTCATGTACCTTCAGGAGACACAAATCTTTATAGTTTTTTAGTATTTGAGAGAAAAACAAATGCTTTCTCCAATAATAGTTCAATGAGGTAAACAATACTTGCAAGTTAATAACACTCCATCTTATTTTAAATGACCTATATATACTACAGTTCAAAAGTTTGGGTATATATATATTTTATATATAAATAGCTTGTGTTTAAGCAGGAACAAGTTATTTTGTAACATAAAAGTGTGGCTGATACCCATGTTTCTCTGTCTTTTTATATGGGATCAACAGATATAGGTAAGAATCATTCTGTGGTTCCTGTAATGTGCTATTTTTTTCCCCACTTCATCTGTTAGCCTTAGACAATATAAAAGTATAAAATCTAATTCCACTGATACTGAAATGGAGACTTCATGAGACTGCCTGATCAATTTAGTGGGCATCTAGAAATTGATAATCAACCTGAGAACTTCCTGTAGGAGAAATATTTATAAGACGAGACGATCGATTTTTAACATAAAGCATCAAAAATAACAACCAAGAGTGTATCAGTTGCTGGTAGCAGTGAGGGTTGTTAACAGACTCGTTTTTCTTTCTCTGAAATATAGACAGATAGCTGCAGTCATGTGGAAAGGGGAAGGCTGATGCGACTGCTGCTCTGGCCTGTAATTAAGTCTGCATAATGCAGAAGTGCGGCACGTTTGACACATGATGTGCGTGTTTGTCCCTGTCAGCGCTCCCTGCAGGGGGCTCGGCTCACAGCCACTGGACTGAAGGGATATTTCCAGGACATATCAATGACTTCATCTTTAGCTATGCAGTACCATTGCCTCATGATAGCATGATTGTCACATAGGATTTTATGAGTTGTTTTTGCTTCGAGGTTGGTTGTAACTGTGTCCCGCTCTAAGTGTCTTCATCTATAACTCTTGTCCTCTCCCAGGTCAGGGGTCAGTGACATTAGTAAGCACAAAACAGACACAAACTATGAAAGGTATGTATCTGTACAAAATCCTAACCCAGAATCTCAAGCAGCCCCTTTGAAGGGAATGTGTGTGCTTTGCTATTAAAGTCAGCGCACACTCTGTCTCATTGGCAGTTGAAAAAAGCAGAGCAGTTTAGGTTGTTCCCCCCGGTGTGACTGCCTGATGCCTGCTGTTACCTTGAGCCTTGACTTCAACCATTCCTCTTGCATGGTTAAATTGGAGCCATTTGCAACGATGTGAATGACAATACGGTTTTTTAAATGTCATCACTGGTAAAACAGAGTGTCAGTTTGACACGCTACCCCTCTAGCTGTGTAAGTTTAGTGAAAAAAATTAATAGCCGTGTTTGTGACTCGTACTGAAGGTTGAGGAAAAAAGTTTACAAGGTCAACACTGTTTTGACTTGTTTCTATAGGATAAAATTTGCACATCACAGCAAAACTTTGCCTTCGTGGGTCATATAAGAATAGAGAATATATATAATTACATAATATATATATGTGCTATATTCTGGCCACCAATCCAAACACGTCATGTATGAAACTGTTTATACTGTTTATATGTTTGTTTATTTTTCTAGTCAGCTTAATAGTTGAGTTTATGAGAGATGACAAGTTTTGCATATCCTTAACAAAAAAGTGCTGTCTATGGCATTACCATGGTACAGTAATGATATCAGATGGTACTTTGAAATAGGCCTGCTTTAGTGCGGCCATTTGTAACTTGAATGTGTGAGGCTTCCGGTTTCATCCACTTCCAGTTATGTTTAGCTGTACAAAAACAGTCGGTTATGCTGCTTGATATTGCAAACTGGTATTCTCATCATATTATTTAAATTTATTATCATAATCTAACACACTGGTTTGTAGCGCATATAGTTTTACTGTTTACTGAACTGTGTTATTCTTCTAGTTATTTACCCATAGAGAATGTGAAGCTGACGTCAAGCCACTTCTGGGAAACTTTTTTGTTTATCCGCCATACTGGGAGGATCGCCCTGCCTTTCCACTATTGAGTTTAGGGCAATAGTTAGATTTTCTGTCGTGATTGTGAAAAATGTCACCATTGTATGTCATTCATGCTGCATTGAGAATTGCAATAGTAACTCAGATCATCGTTCTCAGCGAAAACTGGACAATGATATAAGTTTTTTGCCTTTTCTATGTGCAAAAACACCAAAGGAAGCAGGTTGTGAAGATGACGGATTAGTAAATTTATTAAAAATGTTACTGATTAAACCCACTGCCTGTCACTCAATAAAAGAGTCACATTGCTGCATTTTTTTTTAACATTTTGATTTTGTTTGGTTTTATAATTAACATTATCTTTGCCAGTATGAGTCTCACTTGGCTTGTGAATTAGCAGAGCTTGAACAGAGACATTATACATTGCTCAACACGAATAACGCTTAATGTGGCTTCAGTAGCATGTTTAGACACCACTCAATTGTGTGGGGCCCCGAGGTCCAGGGGGGCCCTCAAGCAGAGGCGACATGCCCATTCAAATCGAGGGGGCACGTGCCCCTCAGATTTTTGATCCAAGTGGATTTTGAATCCAGCTTCCAAAAGACAAAAAAATAGTCTAATAATATTTTTACATTTGATAAGATCACACCGGTGTGATTATGATCAGCTGCTCAATTCAAATTTGTGTTCGCACTTTGTCGCAGAGACAGATGCACTCACTTGTCATCTTAATCTTTTCAGTGTTTTCAACCATCCAATGTTTATTTTATGTTTCTCACACTGTCGCAAACAAAGTGAAAAATTAAATGAAAAGTGTCGATTACGGCATTAAATTTATATCTGCTCATGTTGCATCATATCTTTTTTTTACTCGTTTTTGCAGAGTTGTGGGTTAAACCAATCACAGACGATTCTGTTGAGCTTATGAATGCAATGTCCAATCAGAAGCGTTCAGATTAGTCATCGCTGAAACGCCGTGGAGGTTTGTTCAGTGCGCGTGCTCGCTGACTGAATTCTGCACTCTCTCATCTCATTGCAAATTCTCTAATCATAAACATCAGAGTGCAAATGTGCATATGATGTAATTACGAGATTAATTTCAGCTTCAAGAGATTCATAGACAGCTTCACTGATTATAGGCAAAAAGGAGTTTTTGGAGAGTGCTTAAACTCGCTATAGATTTAAGTCAATGAAAATATAATTTGATAATGTAAATGTTCTTGGCTTACTTTCTGTACAATGAAAGTGTTATAATCAGTAACTTACAATGTTTTTTATTAAATTCACGTTAAATGCAAAATCAGTGATATTAAAAAGATTTTATTACATGACACCCATAAGTTGTCACGGTCAAGGTGTGTGGAGGCAGGCAGGATGACGAGGACGACAAGGATATTTAATGTAGAGACAACAAGGCAGATTCGGGTAGATGAGACACACACACACTCGGGGTAACATTCACAATAACCAACCAACTAGAACACAAGAGACAGGAACAGATATAGGGCAGTTAACGAGGGACAGACAGGTGAGCACAATGAGGTGATTAACTAATAATTAGACGGGCTAAACCAACACAAGGGGAAGAAACCACAACAAACAGTCCACAGGGGTGTTACATTACTCCCCCCTCCCGGAAGGTGCGTCCTCGCACCGTAGAAACAGAGGGAGGGGCGGAGGGGGACTAGGAGGACAAAGCAGTGGATGTGAGATGGTGACAGGGGAAGGCAAAGGGCTGGCAGGCAGAGCAGACAGGTGGAGGTTTCGGCGGAGGACGGACCTCCAGGAGGAGGACGGTTAACAGAGTCCAGGGAGGTGACGATGGAGGCAGGAGCCAGGGAGACGACAGGAG